TTCAACCTGAGACTCTAGACTTCTATTTTAAGGATAGTATATTTCAGAAGTGCCCGAATTATTCAGGAGCGCTTGTGCCCCCTAGTAAATTTTTAGTGAATTGAAAGCCAGAGTACTGGTCTACTGGACTAGTTTGGGGTGGGAAAAAAAAAAAATTCTAAAACATATTTTGTTGCTCCTGTTTGTCACTGTTCTGAGGGGGGAAAAAAAGTTTTTTGGGTTTTTTTTTGTTTTTTTAAGAAAACAGGAAAGAAAATTTGTTCCCATCAAATAATAATAATAATAATAATAATAGTTCTTTCATTTACTGTTTTCTTTTTTGCACAATGAGCTTTTTTTTTTAGAGGAGGCTGAAGCATACAGCTCTCTGGAGACTAAAATATGCTTAATGATGCAATTTATTGTGAAACATTTCATTAACATTTAAAAGAAAGACATTGAAAGATTGTACATTTCTTAATTTCAGCTGATCACATACATATTTATACATATATATACATACATTGTACAAGTTGATTGTAAAATAAATACTTCATCTGACTGAAAAGAGGATAGTTACAGGGTATTTTATGTGCTCTAAGCAATTTAGCAGCAGCATTGAAATTATGTTAGTTTACCACAGTGTATCATGTCTATCCACAAGAGCAGTTTGAAGGCCGTAGCTAAGGTTAGAAACTCAGAATACATCTGATTCAGTATGAGAATTTTGATGTCTTGTATTCCCATCTATCATGGAGTTTTCTACTGCTGTCTGTTTCCATGGGACTTGAGCACCTTCTGTGAAGGGAGAAACAGCAATCAGGGTAACCAGAAAATCTAAATGCCCCATCAGTTCCCAATCATTCATAGATACTGTTGTCAGTGACATGCCTTACAGAATACTGAAAAGATGAGCACTGGCATTGTTAGCAGCATCAGAGAAAATCTAAATCCCTAAGAAGCCCTGATTATGAAAACACGGAGTTGGCAGCAGCTTCAGAAAGAGAGGATATGGACTGTTTCAAACCTTGGAAAGTTCAGCTGGCCACATTCCACTTCTATTTCAGTACACAGTTAAGTGTTTTTAGCCGACTTGCATGTGTAAAGCCATAAAAATGTGTCGTGCAGAACAAAGAACAAAACTAATTGGATTGTGTACTTTACTATGTTAGCTATTGAGGCTTTAATTAAAAAAAGAAACTCATCTTATCTGACAGTGTATCTCTACTGGCTTGGTGAAAACCCTGAAAAACTAATGGTTGGCTCTCAGCGGGTCTGAGATTAATGCCCTTCTTGGGAAGAATGAGAAGCAGGGCGGGGGGGGAAGACTTTGCTCTTTTACAAGGGACCTGAAACTCTGATCACAACTGGCACCTGTATCATCAGGTATAGTTAAGAAACCAAGGATTGATTTAATGTAAACCTTAACTGCCTGAGACATGGCTGAAGTTATACTGGAAGAACTGCATACTGAAGTCATAGCTCTGATCTCCTCTCTTCATGTGGAAAAATGTGCACAATTATTATAAAAGACATAACTAATTCTATGTTTGGATAGAGTAGACATAAATGTGTCGGCAACAGCGTGCTCTCCTACAAGGGAGTGTATCTTTTCATTACTTTTTCAAGTTAAAGTAAGTGGAAAAATCTCTACAGTGTGCCATTAAAATAGGATGGGGCTCTTCTTAAATGTCGTGATCATTATGAAAGTGGAATTTAAACTTCTAAATATTTTAGGTAATTTTATATTATTTACCTAAATTTTCAAATGTAATTTTTCTTCAGAGACTACATGAAAAATAATCTTGAAAGGGAAGCAAGATCTTTTTAGTACTGTAAAACTATCTTGATCAGAGTGAAAGAGTGGTAGTAGAAAGTGGAGACTAATTGTTCCATTTCATCCTACAAACCCCTTCCTGAACAAACACTGATTTATTTTTCTCTGGAATTTTCAGTGTATTTATCTTTGTTTTTTGTAACGCTCCTATTTTTGTTTTTTCATTAATCGTATCTTAACATTTAAATAGTGTCTATTGAAACCCATAGGCGTTTGTTTACTTTTTTCAGTTGATATGTCCTCTGATCATAAACATTCATATCTAGAAATTGATGTATCTAAGTTCCAGGATGATATATACATATATATATACATATATACACACATATGTATGTATAATATAATAATAGTAAATGTTATAGGTATAATTACAAGTGGACTAAGTTAAATTTTGGAATCTGTAATTTATTTTGTAATTTAGTTATTTTACTCTGCAATTTCTTTTAGAAAGCTGGAAGAATTTTTGGATTTAAAACAATTAAAGACATCTTTGAAAGAAGCTATTTTGCTAGATTATTATACTGCGGGATTTTGGTGGGCTAAAGAAATGGACTTCAATCTGATACAGCTCTCAGGATTCATGGATCTGTTAAATTTCCTGTTGGAGAACCTCAGTGGTAAGTATAATTAAAAATAATGAAATAAGTGTCTGAAGTGGAAGGCAAGAATATTTTCCACTCATTTTAATAAAGTGATATTTAATTAGAAGTAATTGTAAAATTATTTATTTTCCTTTTGAATGTTGGCATGTTACACCTTGTGATGATTCTTACTGGCCGATGTTAAACTTTTGTTACAGAGGACTGTAGTCTTCTTAGCAGAATATCTCTCGTTCTTTGTTTGTACTGTATGTGGTACAAAAGGGCCAGGTCCTGAAGAGACCTTGTCATTGCTATGGTAGAATAAATAATAATTACAGCAGAGTGAGAACAAGGAGCTCCTAAATTCTACTTCCACCTGTCTCGTTGACTGACTCACTGTAGCCTTGGGCACATTTCTCTGCTGATTGAGATATTCAGTATGTCCTGTAGCATTACAGCAGGTGGATTACATTTATTTTATCCTTGCAGGTCAACTCTCAGGCAGCTTTCTATATGGCAAATACTGCACTTTGGTTAAGTAAAGACTGATGAGGAAAATAAACTGGCATCACTGCCAAAGATGAAAAATTACAATGAAAGGACAGTAGTTCCTGTGGCTATGAGGAAATTTGCAACAAAGCATGTACCTTAGGTCTAGTGGGAACAAAATATCCAGAAAAATATGGTAGTAGGATCCTCTAAAACTCGTTTTTCAAAGATCACAATGCTTACTTAACATTCACTTTGAAGGTGATTATGTCGAGAAAAGTCCATCCCAGAGGAAGAGTGAAAGGACTCAGTGGTTCCATTCAAAAAGAAGATGAATATTTAAAATCAATCTTGTAATAGTTATTATACTCTTTCATTCTAATTTAATTCAAGGGCCTTTCTGCCTTGGAATTTTGACAGAATATGTACGTGCTTTATGACCATTGAAATTCCAGTTGGCCTTCCTGTCTCCAATGAGAAGTATCTTAACATATGCTAACTATATAAATATAACTATGGAGAAGAATGGAAACATGTCAGAAATCAGTTTTATGAGACTGTATGTAATGCACGTGTACTAGACAGGGTGGTAGCACAACCAGTTATTAAAGCTGACCGATGTTTTTCAGGAATGTGATCTCTGATAATTTTTATATATAAAATTACAAATAAAACAGTTGAATGGGCTTGCAGACAGATGTTGTGGAAGAAAAAAAGTGCTCTTTTTAATTTTTTTAAACAGCTCTAATACCCCTATGCTTTGAAGTAAAGACATAAGGT